CCTGGGGATCGGCCAGAACGACAGCTCCCCCCCAAGCGACAGAGATCCGCCATTTTCTGCAGGGGAAACGGATCTCTGTTGCTTGGGGGATGAGCTGTCATTTTGGCCGATCCCCAGGTCCCACCTGGGGGTTGGCATCCCTTGTTCCCCTGCAGAAAACAGCCGTTTTAGAAGGTGGGGTCTATGGCATTATGCCCTGCTCAGATCCCTTGCTTCCCCAGACACTGCCCTCTCCAGGCTCAACCCCTAAATCTCCAGGAATTTTCAAGCCTGGACTTGGCAACCATAGTACCTAGCAGTCTAATATGCAGAAAGGGGCAGTTGAAGTTTTTCTTGGCCTGGAGCTCAATAACGCCCCCTCATAAAGGCTGCAGCTCAGGGGAGATATTTGGAGGGTCGTTTTTAATCCTGATCACCCCAGCCCTCTGGCCCCCGTTCCTGTGATTATTTAGGGGGGAAATGCCTTTGCTGGCCTTCCACAGCACTGGCTGGAGTTTGGAGGGAAGGTTCCAGATTCAGAAGGGTGGATGTTGGTTGCCGCGGTTCCCTGCCCAGGACTCTGAAGGCCATCGTGCCCCCTGGCCAGAACTTGGACAACAGGACTTGGGTTTTGAGGCCTTGGGAGAGGAATGGTGGGCCAAAATAAGCACAAACTGTGAGGAAGGGTATCCGGGTCTCCCCTGACCTTGGAGAAGTGGGACGCCAGGCCAAAACCCCCCACAGACAGCCAGGAGAGAAGCCAGCGAAATCCAGCCAGGTCCACCTCTTTGGAGCGGTCCAAGCCCCGCCCCCCGCCCCCGTCTCTCGTTCCAGTCCCAGAACACTCCTGCTACACTCTGGGGCTGACATTCCACTCTGGGGCCTGTCATCCCAGGCCCAGAACACTCCTGCTTCACCCTGGGGCTGTCATTTTACTCCGTGGTCTCTCATTCCAGTCCCTGAACACTCCTGCTGCACCTTGGGGCTGTCATTTCACTCTGTGGTCTCTCATTCCAGTCCCAGAACACTTCTGTTACTCCCAGGGGCTGTCATTTCACTCCGTGGTCTCTCATTCCATCCCTAGAGTAATGTATCTGGGCCCAGAGACCCTAATGGAAAATCCATCCCGCATTTTTATTGCAACTCTACTTGTACAGTAATGTATTTCAATGGAGCCCATGCAAGTCAATTGGCATTCCTGTCTCCCATAATTTCCAATGGGCCTTCAAGCGTCGCCCATTGTTTCCAATGGGCAATCCTGTCCTTCCTTTTAGTACATCCCCCTTTAGCTGCACATATGCATACACTGGAACGTTCCACAGATTAAAATATGATCCTACTTGTAACACTATCTCATTCTACCAGTTTGGTGTAGTGGTTAAGTGTGCGGACTCTAATCTGGGAGAACTGGGTTTGATTCCCCACTCTTCCACTTGCACCTGCTGATGTGACCTTGGGTCAGTCACAAGCTCTGGCACAGCTGTCCTTGAAAAAGAGCAGTTTGTGTCAGAGTTTTCTTAGCCCCATCCACCTCACAAGGTGTCTGTTGTGGAGAGGGGAAGGGAAAGGAGTTTGTAAGCCGCTCTGAGACTCCGAGTGAAGGGCAGGGTATAAATCCAATCTCCTCCTCCTCCTCCTCCTCCTCCTCTTACACCAGGGATCGCTGCCTGAATATTCAATTTTTCCTTCTGTATGTTGGTGTTCATTTAATGGTTTCTCTTCTGCCGACTGAAACAGCAACCACAGCAATTAGGCAGATGCTAGGAATTATATGTATAATTTGTAGTACTGTATTCAAAATATGCCCTGGCGGCCTGCGGTGTGTGGAATTGCATGCCGGGAAAATATAGTGCTTTGGAGTGCGTGCGTATGTGTACTACAGATGAAGTTAATCCATTTTCCGCACAGGTTTAATATTGAAAGACCCTGGGGAAGGGAGCTGAGTGGGAAGAATTCTCACTGGAACAATATGCGCTAAACAGTGTTTTAACAAAGCAAAAATATATGGATTGTCCCTGGTTAAAGCAAAAGGCATGGACATAAAAGACAGGATGAAGTTCAGCATCTCCAAAGATAAACGGGGTTATACTCTCACAGGTCTATCCTATTCCTGTGGGAATGCAGTAAGCATCCCTTCTTGGGACAGGTCGAAGGCAGAGCAAGATGGGTCTTGTAAGGCTGAGAGAGATGAGGCTACATGAAGATCCAGGGGGATCAAGACAAGAGAACATATTTCCCAAGATCAGAGTATCCCCAAGAGTGGAGATGAGTAGGGTTGCCAACTTTGGTTTGGCAAATTTCCGGAGATTTGAAGTGGAGCTTGGAGAGGGCAGTGTTTGGTGAGGGGAAAGACCAAGATCAGTGGGGGTATAATGCTATAGAACCCATGCTCCAGAGCAGCCATTTTCTCCAAGGAAACCAATTTCTAGAGATCAGTTATAATACCGGAACTTTTCCAGTTGTAATACCAGAACCTGTGAGTTGGCAACCTTAAAATGAAGTCCTATACTGAATTTTTATATGGAACCAGGCCATTGATCCATGTGTCCCAGGATTCTTATTGACTGGAAGTGGCTCTCAGACAGGCCTTTCTCAACACGCCCTACATGAGATCTTTTTTTTAAAAAAACAATTTATTAGGATATATTTAGACATGTTAACATAAACTTATATTCACCATTACAATCCTAACCTATATCCTACCCCCCACCCTTTCCCCCTCATCCGGCTTCCAGCAGTGCTCCGACCTCCAGCCCCATACTTCAATATTCTATTTTCCCAAATCTACTTTTTCCACAGGTAACAGTTACTTAAAATACAAGTACTTAAGATACAATTATACCAATTTTCAGTAGTTGTCAAAACAAAACAAATTGTCTTTTACATCTCCATTCTTTTCCAAATATTCTTTTAGGTCTTTCCAAACTTCAAAAAAATCTTCTGCCTCCATATCTTTCAGTTTTCGTGTCATTTTGTCCATTTCTACTAAGAATAGTAGTTTTCTTATCCAGTCATTAACTTCCGGTACCTGATCTTGTTTCCAATATTGGGCATATGTCATTCTTGCAGCAGTAATCATATTTGTTCGTTTCGCCATATTAACTTCTTCCATTTTTAATCCCAACAAAAAAGATTCTGGTTCTTTTTTAAATTTCCTACATGAGATCTTTTAATGGGAGATGTCAGGGACTGGGTTTGGGACCTTCTGCATGCAAGGTGGGTGCTCTGCCACTGGGCCACTACCCTTCTTTGAAGCTCACTGGGTTATCTTGGGTTAGCCACTCACTCACTCTCTCAGACAAATATCCTTTTCCACTTCACAGAGTTGTTGTGAGGATAAAATAGAGGAGAAGCTTAACAGTGCATGTCACCCTGAGCTCGTGAGAGGGCGATAAATATGGGTGCCTGAACTTACCTTGAGCTGGGGAGAGTTGTAGGCAATGTTCCCTCTAAGCTATGGAGCTCTGTGAGCAAAAATTCTACTCTGTCAGCTACTGGCATTAACATATTGAGCAGGAGATTTGGCTGCTGCATAAATTAGTTTGCTCTGGAGCCATCCTTCCGGAGCTAAGACAAAAATGTGTGAGCCAGAGGCTAAAAGCCTGTGAGCTAGCTCACACTAACTCAGCTTAGAGGGAACACTGGTTGTAGGGGAAACCGTCACCACATATTGACAGGCTGGAGAGAGCAGACAGAGTGGTTGCATGTTCAGGAAAAGGGTTAAGTGGGCAAAAGATGTCATAGAGATCTGTGTGAGGTCCCCAGGGGTCATGGTGAGGTTGGACTTGGGGGGGGGGGGGCGAGACCAGGATTGTAAGATGTGAGGGACAGTGAGAACCGACAGAGGAGAAATGGCCAGGGATGGCAGTGTGACAAATGGGAAAGGCCGGTCTGTTATCATACATTGTTGTTTATAGCTTTCATAGCGCTTTTCCCAAGGAACGAAAAAGGCCCCGAGAAGTTTACAAACTAAATTTTGGCAGCAGGGAGTCCTGTGTTCTATGGAGGTTCAGTATGCAATGTAGGAAACTGGGACCCCAACCATAGTACTGAAGGAGTGAGGGAAATACCTGTGTACATTTGTGATAAGAAGATTCTTTATGCTTGCTGAAGGTGTTCCCTTGTGAGGACAGAAGGGTTAGGATTGGAATGGAGGCCTTCGGGGGCGGGGGGCAGGGCAGAAACAAGTCAATTTTCTTTCTTGTTCTTTGGAGTTGTTTCAAAACAGAACCCTTTTTTTGCACCAGATCTTTTTGTATATTTTAGAATTAATGGGCCTTGGTTATAACCGTTCAATCCTGTGGTTACTTTATAGAGCTACATTAAAGATTGTCCACCTGCCTCAGATAGAGAGCTTATAATGAGCTTGCTAACTGCTGTGAGACGATGTGTAACGTTCTGTTGGAAATCCTCTGTGGCCCCCAATGTTAACAATCAGATTATGAGGGGAGGTATGAAGCAAGTAGGAGCTGCGGTGGCTGAGGAGCTGCGTTGGCTCAAGTGGTTAAGACGCTGAACTACGGACTGTGGAAGGTCAGTAGTTCAGCAGTTCGAGACCCGGGTGCCACATGACGGAGTGAGCTCCCGTCTCTGGTTCCAGCTCCTGCCAACCTAGCAGTTCGAAAGCAAGAAATTGCAAGTAGATAAATAGGTACCACTTTGGTGGGAAGGTAACAGCATTCCGTGCGCTTTGGTGTTTAGTCATGCCAGCCACATGACCACGGAAACATCTTCGGACAGCGCTGGCTCTTCGGCTTTGAAACGGAGATGAGCACCGCAACCCTAGAGTCGGACTCGACTGGCTTTCGAGCAAGGGAACCTTTACCTTTTTATGAAGCAAGTACCTATCAGAGTACAAGTATGAATCAAGAAGACTTAAGGGCTGATGAGGTTTAGGGAAAGGTGGGTTTTGTCATGGAATGGTAAGGTTAATGATAGGTTTTCCTTTGTGTTTGTGATGAGTGATCCTTTGTTTTCTTTCCTTTTCTTCCTTTCTTGTTAACAACAATAAAAAAATAAAGGAACAAGGGCCAGGGAAGGGCAGACTCTCCACAAAAGGCCATACCTGGGTGAGTCACAACTGAGGCTTTCTCCACCCACTGTGTATCCCACCCTACCACCCAGGAAAAGGGGGCAGTGCAGTCCTAGGCAAGTGGACAAGGACTGGATCTTCCATTCCCTTTGACCATACCCTGTTCATCATCCCAGAATAATGTACACACACTGCTTGAATAAGGTGGCATTTGGCAATGAATGAGATTGCATTAGCACAGTTAGAGATGGTACAAAGCTTCCAGCGTGCAGTGCTGAGTCACCTGCTGTGCATGTTACGCTGGGAAGTGTAGCTTCCTCGGGTTGTGCTCACATGATGCGTTCTGTATTAGACAAGCAGCATCTGTTTTAGGGGCTAGGTTGTGGGCAGCTGTTGCATCAGAGGGCTAAGGATGCTCGTGGCTGTGCGAGTCGCTGACGCTGTCTTTCCCTCTGCAGGACTCGCTGTGGTCCCAAACGTTTATCGTGTTCTGACAAGACCAAAACCCCAAGGGGGATGCTGATGGAATCCTTTTTGGGACATCACAAAGATGGCTCTTGCTGCTCCCATAATCCGGCAGTGCTCAGCGTACACCAGAATGTGGAGGAGATGGATTTCGAGAGAGGTAAAGAAATCCTGGTGGGGAGGGAGGAGATGGGCTGTGCAAAAGACCTCCTTCCCCCTTGCTTAAAAAACAAAAACCAAAAAAAACTTCAGGGAAAGATAAAGTATCTTGTGGTACCTTACGGAGTAACACTCTTACTAACTCTCATTTGTGGACCAGAGACCTCTTTGTCAGATTAAAGGTAAAAGGTAAAGGTTTCCCTTGCTCGAAAGCCCGTCGAATCCAACTCTAGGGGGCAGTGCTCATCTCTGTTTCCAAGCCGAAGAGCCAGCGCTGTCCAAAGACTTCTCCGTGGTCATGTGGCCGGCATGACTAAATGCTGAGCCACACGGAACACTGTTACCTTCCCACCGAAGCGGTACCTATTTATCTACTTGCAATTTCTTGCTTTCGAACTGCTTAGCTCTGTCAGCTGGTTAGTCTGAAGGTGCCACAGATGCTTTGTTGCAGATGTGACTGCCCCTCCAGATGCTTTGTTGCAGATGTGGCTGCCCCTCCAGGGTTGACTTTGGAAGTGAGAGAGCCTTTGGAGCCTCTCATGTGCGGCCCTCTTTGATATAAGCTGGTTTGCATAAGCTGGTTTGCTGGTGTTTAGCAGTTGACGGAAACAGTGCTTAATGACTGCAGTTGTTGCTGGTATTGATTTTGCTCTTGTGGTGCTTCGGGGTAAGCAGTTCTGTGACCAGATGCCTTTACATGTCACTTCGTATAAAGGAATGGTACACTGGGCATAGGCATTCCTCAGTGCACTAAGAGCGAGTGGGGCGCAATGCGCTACTGAGCTGTGTGTGAACGAGGAGACCCCCCAGCTCCGTCAGGCTTCTGTCTTGAACTCAAGTGGTGGCCTCGGGCAAGCCTTGTTCTCTCTTGCCCTCAGCACTGTGCTCCCCCTGTCTACAGAATGGGGATAATGATAATGTTGGCCTACCTTGCAAGGATGTAAAGCTTACTGAGACAATGTTGTGTGAAATACTTTGCACACTTTTACAGCATGCTATAAATGCTAACTGTAGTGGTGTGCATCCACAATCAATACATCTGTGCATTTATTTATTTGTATTTACTTTGTTCATACCCTGCCTTTCCTCCCCAGTGGGGATTCAGAATGGCTGACATCATTCTCCTCTCCTCCATTTTATCCTCACAACAACCCTGTGGTAGGTTAGGCCGGCCCAGGGCCACCCAGCAAGCTTCCATGGCAGAGCGGGGATTTGATCCTGGGTCTCCTGGATCCTACTCCAACCCTCTAACCACTATGCCACACTGGCATACCCTTTGGCAGGAAACGCAGTGCCAGTTGGATTAATGATGATGATGATAATAATACTTGGCATTTGTGTAGTGTTTGCACTTACCGTACTTTACCTTGCTGGAATTCTTACAACATCTGTGTATGGTAGGCTGGTATTATTATCCCTGTCTTACAGGGGGGAGCTGATGGTGAGAGAGAGCACTTTGCCTCAGGAGTTCAGGGCAGAGGCTAGATTTGAACCAGGGACTCTGTGATTCATTGTTCAGTCTTTCTGCTGCTACGCTACATCAACACCCTTTATTTCTCGCTGACAAGAAACAGCCCTGCAAAATATTTCCTGTCTCACACAATGAAGAATTGAACATAGAGATTTCGCAGCTTGTGTCTCTTATGAGCAGTTTCTTTGGTATTTATACAACAATAATGCTCAAACGTAAAAGCCAAATTTGGCATTGTTAAGTGGGTAACACTCCAGTGCATTCTCCTGCCCAATTCTGATGCAAAGCACAGTTTCAGTTCATTGCACATGTTCGTCAGAAACATTTCTATTGAACATGCTTTGCTTACTTCCAGGTAAACTTGCACTGGATCAGGGTACATGGACGTTTTTTGCTTTACTGTGTTTTAAAGAGTAATTGCACTGGCACTCACTCTGTTGCTTACAGAAAGCCACATGTGCAATTACCGTTAACAAAATCAGGTATGCCCTGCGCACCACCCCAAATAGGAGAAGAAGAGTTGGGTTTATACCCAGAGGAGTCTTGGAGCGGCTTACAATTCTCTCCCCTTCCTCTCCCCACAACAGACACCCTGTGAGGTAGGTGAGGCTGAGAGAGTTCTGAGAGAGCTGTGACCAACCCAAGGTCTCCCAGCTAGCTTCATGTGGGGGAGTGGGGAACCGAACCCAGTTCTCCAGATGAGAGTCCACCACTCTTAACCACTACATACATGCCATAATATAACTATTAAATATATAACTATAACCATTCCACCATTTCACCACAACTCTGAGCGTGCAGAGTTGTCTCTCTCCACCCCTCCTGAGCCCTTAGCCCGCCCCTGTGTGACTGGAGTGAGGGGAAAGGCTTTTTCTCTCTGCCTTCTTGCTCTCCGCTCAGCATGAGGCACAGCCGCTTGGGTGTGAGAGGGGGATTGCCAAGTAGCCTGGAGGAGGGCAGGCTGTCTGTGGAGGAAGGCGAGTAGAACTACGGCCTGACTCTGGTCACCTTGCTCTGTTCCTTGGTTGCTCCCACAGTGGCAGAGATGTTACTTTGTGGCCTGCTTGCTTTCCTCCTTGCAGCTGCCCTGGTGCTGGGATGAGAGGGCTGCGTCTGCGTCGGAGGGTGGGACTGGGGTTGGGGACCCTTCCCTTCCTTCCCTGGCATGAGGCTTCCAGCTCAGAACATGCAGCCGCTTACTGGTCCTCTGGAGCTTCTGGTGGTGGCTGTTTAAAGATGCAAACCACCTGCCGTCCAGAAGCCACATGAGGCAAGGGCCTTGACTACTGTCCTGAAACACAAGGCAGGTTCCACATTGGGGAACAGTGCTCTGAAGACCCACAGGCACCATGTCAAAGACCCACATGTGGCTCCTGAGCCACTGAGTGAGTATCGCTGGATTATTGCCTACCCCCAGGTCATTGGGGTGGATTTCATTGGAAACGGAAATTGATTTTCCCCCCCCAACTAGGGATTTGGTGTGCTGCTCTGAATGGAGACCTCGCGGGGGTCAGAAAGCACGTCCTGAAAGATGGAAATGTTAACGATCCTGACCTCCTTGGATATACAGCTTTGGTAAGTGCCTTGAGAGGAAAAGGGATGATAGTGTAAAACGCAGGTCACTGGGTGGGGTTGGATTCCAGCCTGCCATGGGGGTTGGCTGCTGGCATCTCTTGGGCAAAATCTGGCCAAGGAAAACCAGCCAGAGATCTAACTGTCCTCAGTGCACATTGCAAAGAGAAGGGTGGAACCACCGTGAAGTTATCTTTCATGCTGCTCATGTTGGCATGAGGACATTCAGGTGCCTCCAGTCATTTCTAGGGTTGCCAGCAGGCCTGGAGAAAATACCCTAGCCCTTTAAATAGAGGCTTAATGTGTGGAAATGGTTTTTCGTGGCATGGAGGTAAATACCATCACTTTAAGCCTGTATTAAAGGGACAGGACATTTTTCTCCAGGCTCGTTGGCGATCCAAATTTTCCTTTCTCAACCCGGAAACAAAAATCCTGCTTATGTAGTTACTAGGAAACCCCAGTGTCGTTTCTCTAATTTCTTCCCTCAGTACATCCCCCAGTGGGCTTTGTGTCACAAAGTTAGCAGTAGCGTTAGAGCCAGCAGTGGATGTAGGATGCCGTGTGGAGCAGGACATAGTGAGGGTTCCGGTACAGTGTTTTCCTGTTGGTTTCCTCTTGGCCATATGCCATATTCTGCTTGCTTGATTTTGTGTTTGAAATACATACTCTGCATGACTGTGCTTGGGATACCCCAAAGTCTGGTGTCAAGGCATCCTGCAAGCCATGTGTCCACCTCCCTTCAAAGCACCGCATTTTCTCTCTTTGCAGCACTATGCCAGCCGCAATGGGCATTACAATGTCTGCCAGTACCTGCTGGAGAACAAAGCTGTTCCCAATGCCCAGACCCATGGTGGGGCCACCCCTCTGCATCGAGCCTCTTACTGCGGCCACACAGATATTGTCAAGCTGCTGTTGGCTTGTGGCGCTAATCCAGCTATCGTGGACGATGATGGGAGGACCTGCCTCCACAAGGTATGTCCTCCAGAATGGTTTCTCCTCCTTGATCCTCGCATATGAGTGTGGTAGGGGGGAGCAATGCAGCAGTCAGTTCTGTCCCCAGAATCACTTGGTGTGGCATCACATTTCTACACCTCTAGGTGCCATGTAATTGGTGGAGTGGGTGCCTTTAGGTTTATTTCTTTAGTAAATGTAGATGCCATCTGTCCAGAAGCCTGCTGCAGGCAGCTCACAGAGGGGTAAAAAAAGTAGACTATGTAACATAAGAATTACCAATAATAAAACAAGCCATAAAAAGCAAGCCAAGGGCATAAAGTATCGTAAAACAACATTCAACCGCCTAAAAATTATATTCATAAACCAAGTCTCAGGCGAGACGCAGACCATAAAAACAGCTTTTTAAAAAAGGATCCAACCCCGTCTGTGAAAAACCTGGCTAAAAGGTTGCAGGGAGGTTTTGTTTTGATTTTAGTTTGTATTTATTGAGGTTTTAATGTAATCTATGTTTTATTTCCGGCGTTGCCGCTTGTTTGCCGCCCTGGGCCAGATGGGTAGGGCGGGATATAAATCCCAAAATAAATAAATATACAGATATAAATGGACCTTTGCAATTGGAGTTTTGAGTGGAGCTTCAAATCTTGAACTTATAAGTATGCCTTGGAGTATATGGTCCTTATCTGGCTCCAAACCCACAAAGCCCCTCATTTTGGACTGCCTCGTCAGTGGCGTGGCTGACATATGGTTCCAAGGTCTAATTTCCTGGATAGTAAAGTAAAGGTAAAGGTTCCCTTGCTCGAAAGCCAGTCGAATCCGACTCTAGGGTTGTGGTGCTCATCTCCATTTCAAAGCCGAAGAGCCAGCGCTGTCCGAAGACGTTTCCGTGGTCATGTGGCCGGCATGACTAAACACCAAGGCGCACGGAACGCTGGGAAAGAAGGGCTCTGGTGAAGCGTATCCCCCCAGGGACATGGGGGAATGTGTGGCCCCGACTTTCCTTCTGCAAAATAGATGGGGTCGAGGCAGAAGAGCAGCATAGCAGTCCCCATCCCCACAAACAAGGGTGTTCCCACCTGTGATACATGACAGATGATTGCCGTTCTGTCTTTGCTAACTGGGTCTGCAGGTCTTGGATTCAGAGGCTATAACTGGAAGTCAGGCTCAAAGCCCAAAGATTAGTGACAGCCCCTGATTTGTTTCTGGTTTTCCTCACTGGGGGGAAAAAGGGTACGCTTCCCTTTCTTTGACACCTCCCACTACTAAGTCCAGCTCCATCATCTGATTGGCCATTAGGAGGTCCAGCACTCATCCTGGACTCCTGTGGCACACCCGGCATGCCCTGAAGGCCCTCTCCCCTCTTCCCATCCAGGCGGCAGAGAACGGACACCACGAGCTCTGTGTTCTCCTGTTGGGACGCAACGCGGAGCTGAGGAAAATGCGAGACAAGAACCTCAGAAGACCTTGTGACATGGTTCCCAGCGGCCAAGAAGAGTTGCGGAGACTTTTAGACAAGAACGATTTGCCTGCAAATGACAGCGAAGAATCCAAGGCCTTGGGAAGCCCTCCTGCCCTCTAGGCGAAGTCGCCCACTGTCACCCTTACCCTTCTGCCTGATGCTGGTATGCTGTGGAGCTGCATGACAGCAGCAAAATAAATTTGCTTCCAAGCCTTACCTGTCAAAGGAATAATTGATTTTGTGGAGAGGAGTGGAGAGGAGGAGATTGGATTTATACCCCGCCCTTCACTTGGAGTCTCAGAGCGGCTTACAAATTCCTTTCCCTTCCCCTCCCCACAACAGACATGCAAATGTGCAGTCCCTCAGAAAGCTCAGAAAGGCGTTGATGGGCCTAGAATCTGGAGCTATGGAAGGGAAACATTGTCATGAGTTGGGGTTGGGGAGGAGTTATTGCTTCAGATATGAATGTGGGTGCCAGAAGGTCTGGCTCTGGTGAATTGGGTGATGGGAGTGCCAGTTCCATCTGAGGATGTGGGGCCATATTAAAGATGTTGTGTCCTTGGGCTCACATCTTCCTGTGTTGCCTCCCCCAACTTTGTGTCCTTATGCAGTCTGATGGGATGAGTTAGAAGGACCCATTTATCCAGGCTGTAGAATCCAAACTGGCAAGTTTGTCCTGCAGTGTGCCAGCTCAGGATGCATGCTTGAGTGCTCCATCTTTGTCAAAACAAACTCTTTGAAGTGGCCTGGGCATGAAGAGCGTTTGGAGCAAATCTGGTCTG